TGTCTGCAACGCAAGGTGCAGAAGATAAATTTCGTAATTCTGAACTGCCATATCCCAAACCCCTTTGTTTAAAATTGCAGTGTAGACACCAGAAACATGGCAGTCCTAAATGTTATTCTGGTATAGTCATCTGTCACCCTCAAACTTGCTGATTGTTCTACTCTATCTATCCTGATCAGACTGAGCTGGAATACCGGGTCTAGGCTTGGTTACCAATACAAATCAATACATCAAGGAATTGGAAAGAATGCAGAGAAGAGCACTAAAAATTAAGAGAACGATACTAGAAAGGGTAGAAAGGGTACTATGTGGGATCAACATAAGAGCAATAGCAGACTTACATACCACTTTACAGTGATTTACAGCCCTCTCTAAGTGGCTTACAGAGTCAGCATATTGCCCCCAACCATCTGGGTCATTTTACCCACCTTGGAAGGATGGAAGGCTGAATCAACCTTGAGCCTGATGAGATTCGAACTGCCAAATTGCAGGCAGCTGTCAGTCAACGGTTGTAGCCTGCCAGTACTGCACTCTAACCACTGTACCACCATGGCTCATAAGCCTTTCCTTTCCCTTTTTTTCCTCTGCTGCCTCAGTTTAAAGCAGCAGACCACACCTATATGGGAAGAGGATATTTTCAGCACTTGGATATGGGTAAATATGTTGAGAAGTGAGACTGCAGCATATGGCAGGGAGCTGGAGAAGAGGTGTCTCGGGTGACTAATTAATACCTAAGTAAGTTATTTTATACAGATCTAGGCAATTCAAGTCTGCCTATAAAGAAAGAAAGGGAAAGTGGGGAAGGGAATTTATGAAGGCTGACAATAACCATACATAAGAATCCTTAAAATCAGACATGTAGCCCATGTAGAAATAGGTCAATAGATGTAGGTATAATAATGGAAGACAAGAGTCAAGAAAGGACAAACAACAGCAAGAAGAAAGGACTCAGTTACAGGGGCAATGAGTACTCCATTGGGAGAATGGAAACACTCAGTTAAGGATAGACCAGTAGGAGAAAACCAATGTATATAGTCAATAGGACTCGAAAATGACTTATTTACAGTATTTACTTATTTTATAAAATGTATATGGCCACCTACTCATCCATGGTGACACAAGGGGGCTTACACGAATATAAAAACACCATATAAAAATTAATAATAATAATAAAAATTAATAAATGAATTATACTACATAATCAATCAATCAAGGTATACTTAGGGTTAGAAGTAAGCATATATTTTAATTGATTCAAATTGTTTTTTTAAAATTTTCATATAGTACCATTTCTTTTGTAACAAAGGGAAGAAAAGGACATTCTTTGTTCCAAAGAGGATCCTCTCTCACACATCTGTGCAAATGCCCCAGTTGGTAAATTGCAAGTGTAGCTCTACCAGAACTGATCCTCTTCAAAAACAAAACCCACGTCACATGATGGTGACTGTTTCTAGAACTGGAAATCATAATTGGTACAGGATTTGAAGTTAAGCCACTACATACCGTGTTTCTCACAAAATAAGGCCGGGTCTTTTTTTTTTTTTTTTTTGAGCCCTGAAAAAATGGCTAGGCCGTCTTTTCAGGGGTGACTTAATTCCCCCCCCCTTGCATCTTTGGGCGGGTGGGCAGCGATGGCTTGGATGTTGACCTCGGCATTGATGGGGCACTTCATATCGGGGTCAACGCAGGCAGCACCATATCCGGGTATGCAACAAAAGTACTTCCTAACAGCAAGCCCCCTCCATTCCCCCCATTTTGCATGTTTTAATATAGGCCTTAATTTGGGGGAGGGGCTTAATTTTATTTCATGCCTATAAAACATGCTGGGACTTCCTATTGGGGGAGGCCATATTATTGGAGAAACAGGGCATTATCCATCATGGTAAAAGAATGAGGGGAAAGATTCACCTCCTATGACCATATCTAGATCACTTTGCATTACTGAAGAGAAGGATGCAATGCAAAGGTGCATTTGCATTATCAAAACTGCCCTAAGTTTTCTATTATCCGGAGGTTCTTATTTATTTATGTTTAGTGAGTAAAATAAACATATACCAGAAAGCTGAAGGATGGGGTTAGAATTAAAGGTTAGAGTTCGATCAAACTACATATTCATATTTCTATTATCCCGAGGTTCTTATTTATTTGTTTAGTGAGTAAAATAAACATATACCAGAAAGCTGAAGGATGGGGTTAGAATTAAAGGTTAGAGTTCGATCAAACTACATATTCATATTAGAATTTAAGAGTATGAGATGATTTTAAAATAACAATTTGGGACAAATTTACTTTTGGTCTGTTTATAGCAAAGTGAACTATGATTGCCAGGTTAGTCAGTCAGGCTACTTCTTCATTGAGTTTAAAGTTGCGGGTGAGAAAAGGAAGTTGGGTTGCTTAACTATTTCTAACAAAATTCCTACTAGGCAAAAGATTAAAACTCTCCTCTCTGTCTAGAACAGGAGTTCCCAACCCCCAGGCCACGGCCTATTATCAGGCCGCAGCCTATTATCAGGCCGCAACCTTTTTGAAACCGGGCCATGGGAGACATGGGCAAGCACACACACATGATGCTCCACTTGCGTGAGTGGAGGGCGCTTGTGCTCATGTGCAAACTCCATTTGTGTGAATGGAACTTCGTGCGCAAGCACAAGTGCCCTCAGCTCGTGCAAGTGGTATTTTGCACAAGTGCAAGCACCCTCTGCTGACGCACAAAGCTCCATTTGCACATGTGGAAGGTGCATGCACCCACAGCTCGCATACATGGAGCTGTGTGCACACATGTGCATCTGCCACTCACCCCTCCCCTCACCCACTGCTGGGCTGAGCCAAGCTGGAAAGGTTGGGGACCACTGGTCTAGAGTGAGAAGACATCTCAGAAAAAAATAATAATAAAGTTCTAGTTGTTTTGAAAAGCAAAATAGCCTTAGCCACTAACTGCAACTTGGTTTAATCTAGCACCTATTTGAGAGATTAATATTAGTTATACAGGGATAGAGATGGGTGTATCAGAGGCAAAGATATACAGTATTTTCAAAAAGTCACCAGTTGTACAAGGTGGGTCAAACCCCTGCCTGGTGTTTGAGGATCTCTATAAAATAAAGGCATAGTACATAGAAATGGCCTGTATACAGACCAAAGGTCTTGCACTTAAATGTAACCATACAACAAGCAATGGACAATTGTTTTGCCAGTAGGCTTGCTTGTTTCTACTAAGCGTGACAGATGATTATGACCTATTCAAAGGGAATAACATAGTTCTGCTTTGCACTTGAGGGAAAAAATACAGATCATGTTTCTAGTTAGCAGCACTGACAGCTTTTCTCTTGGTGTTCCTTAACAAAATGTGCACCGCTGTAAGAAATATACACTGGCCCACGTCCTATTAAATATGTTTCACTGTTGAAGTGTTTCATCTCCCAGAATACATTACCAAGATTAATAAAGTGAAGAGTTAATCAGTCCACATGCCATTACACATGTAGGGCATGTATCCTTATTACATTACTGTCGTTTTAGTAAATTCACCCTATCTGATCATTTATATATATTTGATTATTTATATATACTTTCCCGCAGCTAGTGCATTTCCAAACAGCTTCACTACAACCCAGATTATAAATGATTACTTTTGACCATATGCACAGGATTTAGAGATATTGGTTCTGTGTGAGTTTGAAAATGACATGATTATACCTAGTACTAGCAAGCCTTTTTTGCTTCGTAGTATTTTCTTATCTATTCTATACTGTATGATGCTGAACTCAAAATGATGGAGTAGTCTAAGCAAACAGTTTATTCCTGCTTCTGCATCCATGGAACTGACACTGTAGTGTTGGAAGGTTAAATGAAGGCTACCTCTTTATACACATCAATTTGATTCTGAGATTTCTGGGCAATCATCGCATATTTGGAGGCTACGGAGAAAAATCAAATTGCAGTCTTCCTGTCCATCCTCCAAGTGCAATTATTTCACAATTATCTTACCCTCCGCATTTGACTCTAATATTAGAAACAATGTATTAGTCTCACTTTTTAACAAGATGCCGTTTAAATAGAAGATGTATCTGAAGGCCCTGCAAACATTTGCAAGGGCAACAAATTGAATGTAATCGGAGCTACATTCTTACAGGTGATCTCCCTCCTACCTCCTTTTTGACAGTGGGAACAAAGCATTGTTTCCACAAGGACCAATTATTGAGAAATAGAAGATCTGCTCATGCAAGACTATTTTTAGCACAGAAACAGACAAAAAAATGACAATCTTATAAGATTTTCATCTTTAAGTGAACGTTTAGATAAACTGAACTGTATGTTAAAGATACATTGTTAAAGAGGCAGCAAACAATTTGATTGCATGGCAACGGGCTCTCAGGATGGAGTAAACAACCTTTGCACTGTCCAGGCAAAAGGGGTGAAGAAATATGAAAACACCTGTCAGCAGCACCAAGAGACCTGGTTTCACACTGTAATAAATTAAACTGATGGAGGTCTCTATGGGTATTACCATGGCTACTGCCAGGGTATCAGTAAATAGACCAATGGGAAAAGAGTTGGGTACATATGGAGATAAAAGGGTAACTAAATATTAGTTGCTAGATGTCTGTCTTATATTCAGGTATTCCTTCATTTATAACCACAACTTCTTGCGGAAAAGACTTTTTTTCTTCCAAAATTTCTGTTGTTAAGCAAGATAGTTGTTAAGTGAGTTTTGCACCATTTTACCTTTCCTGCCACAGTTGTTCAGTAAATCACTGTAGTTGTTAAGTTAGTAACATGGATGTTAAGTGAATCTGGCTTTCCCATTGATTTGCTTGTCAGGTTACAAAAGGTGATTGCATGACCCCAGAACACTGCAACAGTCATAAGTGTAAAAAAGAGTCAGAAGTCACTTTTTTCAGTGCCGTTGTAACATCAAACGGTCACTAAATGAACTGTTGTAACTCGAGGACCTGTACTACTTATGGGCTTTGCATTAAGCATCCCCTGGTTTCTCTGGAAAGGATTAGATGTTTATATGACCCTTTAGTCTGATCCAAAAGGAATCTTATATCCTTTATTAGAAAAATTAGTGCCAAAATACACATAAATGTAGTACCAACCTTTGTTATTATACAGTATACAATCCCCCCCAACACACACAACCAATTTACACTTGATAATGTTTATTTTGGATTTAAGTTATTAGACCACTTCTGATTCAAATCATAATAGCTACTGAGTGAAGCACTTCATGTGATCACTCACTTTGTTTTATACCAGAGGCTTTTCATTCTAACTATAGCATTAAAACGTTGGGAGTGAAATTGGAATATAATTCAGTTTAGTAAATATCTGGAAGTTTAGTCATTCAAAAGAAAAATGATAAAATATACTTAGTCTAAATGTTATTGTTTGAGACACTCAGCAGCTGATTAAGAGTATCTAATGGGCACAGAAATGGTACTAACAAAAAAGACCTATAATTCCCTTTAAACTGCACTGGGCAATAGGCATCACATGCAGATCTACAAAATATCCTTTGGAATTTTGAGCAACTAAATTGAACTAGAAGTGATCTCTGCTACAGGGGTCAAAGCTAGATTTGAACAGATGTCAGAAACACCTGAGGGAGAAAATATTTATAAAATATTTCTACATTCATAGATTAGTTGATTTTCAATAAGCATCAATAAAAATAAACCATTTTATATATAACCCAGCAGTAATAGTTAAAACATTTCCATTCGCTATTTCTAGAATAAAACCATTTATTCTTTGGAAAGATAGTGACTCCTAGTAAAAGTACTTGGTATGAAAACACAAGAAATATAAAGTGTTTTTAAAGACCAATATTAATTTTTATCAAGGAAAGGGGTTCTTCTTGTAAAAAGTGTGTATTATTTTTCAAAACAACTGCAATAAAAATTGTATAATTTCCTTCCAATTAATAGAATTAGGCTTGACAACTTTGAATTTAGAGTTATGATAATTTGTTATAGAGAATGGAATTAATTGAAGTAGGAAGCAAAAGATTCCTTAGCCCAAATGTCTTATTTTTTTAAAAAAACATTATACTTAATATTTATTTGGCAAGGTATATAAGAAGCTGTGCTGATTAAAGCCAAGTCACTATGAGACATAAGGTTACAATTTTTATTTTCAGTCGTTAAACTGAATGTTATATAGCCATAGTCTTAAAAATCAGCAGCATAAGCTTGATTGCTATGGCAATCACCATGGTTTCAAGATTCTGAATATAACCCTATGGCTTATCCTTTGGGATCTCAACCTTAGAGACATGGACCCTATTTATATCATGGGACAGTACGAGGGATGATATATATAATTAAACATATGGCAAAAAGTATTCTTTTTAAAAGAAATGTGGGCCATATAAAGATATCAAGTGAATTTTCAATGTAAGTAAGTCAATAAAATATTAAGATTTCTTTTCAGCTGCAGAAACCAAAGATGTAGCAAAGGCTTTATTAAATAGCTTAAATGTTTAAAGTTTTTAAAAAGTGCAATTAACTATGCAGAAGCCACATTCACCAAACTATTATGCTAGTGCAGCAATTAACAAACAAAATCCTGAGACTGTCATATGGTTAAAATATAGGGAAATTTCCTGTGAAGGAAAAAGATTTAACACCTTTAATGCAACACATTGGACCAATATAATATAAAAGTAATGAACTGGACGCAGATCAAACCGAAAGCAAATAAATGCTATTTCTATATTTACTAATTATGTTTTTTTTAAAGCCAGGGAATTTGTAATACTTCTCTTTAGCTATCCCATTGTCTAAAGAGAAATTCTAAATTATTTCTTTAAAAAATAAAAAATACTGTTTTGAAAGTATAGCCACTAAATATGTAATATCTCAAAGCATATTTCCCGTAAAAGATTTCTACAGCTCTGTATTTATAGGTTTAATCACAGGGAGAAGGAAGGTAGGTAGGTAGGTAGGTTGGTTTTGGCCATAATGGAAAAAAAATGTTTTTAAATGTACATATCAGTATCCAAAAAAAGAAATGAGGGTTTTTTAAACTCAACTCAGAATTCATTATATAAAATAACCCACCAACTCTCTTGAATTTTCTTTTTATGTAGAAGAGACAATAAGAGACCTCAAAACCCCAACTCCAACCCCATTCTTCTTCACAGTCAAGCAACTTGAATGCATGCACATTACACAAATGAATGAAAAAGTTCTTATCTCTGAAGATCACAGGTATAATTGAATTCAATAAATAAGTCTCTATTTGGAAATTCTACAGAAAAAAAAATTAACAGTTTAGTCTCTCTTTTTTTCCAATATAGTTTTCTGTTCTTGCTCTCTCTCTGGAAATTCTACAGGACTTTCACTGCTTTCCTCCTCTGCTTCCTCTTCAGTGCCTTCATCAGTTAGCTCCCTGCTTGTGGATTCCTTCTTAGATGTCTCAGCTTCATCTGATCCTCCCGAGTCAGCAGTGCAAATCCCGTAACACATGATGCTGATGACACCCAGTGGTAGACCAAAGAGAAAGCAACCAAGAAGTGGCGAACTCTTGAAAACAGACTGTAGAGAAATAATTGGCCATCAATTATATTTTCATAACATTTTGAATAAGAGAAGATGGGAAAAGATGATTCCCACCACTTCTCCATATGTAAAATATTTACATATTTTAAGAAGAATCAAGGCATGGAGAATGTTACTGAGTGTCACACCTAAACTTTAATGAAAGAAGTGGGAAGACTGTTACTTCTTTGCCTTTTTCTCATAATTCACCCTTAGAACCAGCAATACTGCCAAAAATAACCTCCAGTAGCTCAAGGAATATGTACACAGATGTTCTAAAAAATGGTTTCAGAGAAAGCCTGGGTGTTAGTCCCCATTTTTTCCTTCTTTATACTTTCCCTCATCTACCTTTGTAAAAAGTATTATATTTCAAACAGATCTGTTTAATTTTTGTTACAGGAATTTGCAAGGCGGCTTTTCAAGCACATGCATGCAAATGTTACTCTTTTGCACTTAAAATTCTGTCAGAACCTATTCCATAGGTGGAGGATGGCCTAAATTTAGATTATGTAACAGTTTAAACCCTATAGAAGAACACAACATACAGAGGAAATACTGTGTTGAGGTCTACACAACATTGGTCCTATGTCAACTGGTGTTCATGGACAGCAACTACCTATGTCAACTGGTGTTCATGGACAGCAACATTTTTATATGCGCTCAACTGAATCAGAAACAATTTGGCATGGCCAATTTGGCATGGCCATAAAAAATAAACTCAAAATGCATGCATATGTACAAGATAAGAAAGAAATGGAAAGAAAACTGTACAATCTGAAAGAAAATAAAATCCTTCCTTATCCAGTATATCTAGAAGCACAATTTCTAGCAGCACAACATCCAACTGAACATATTTTGAAAGTAATAGAAATGTACACCAGCCAGAGAAGGAAAACAAAATTGTAATAGTTAAATGTTATGTTCTCTGTGGGAAGGAACATACAAGAGAAGACTGATTGGGGGGGGGGGGAAATGTCCATGCTCTATCTGTCAACTATTCATATGTACTATGACAGATTCAGATGCTGTCCAATTACTACCAATGACACATTTTATGTCAAAGGTTTGTTTCAAAAACAAGATGTATTGTAACCAAGACAAATCCAACAAACTTAGTACTATGATTGAATGAAACCTTTCCAGATTCATTTCTGTGCTTAGCAAGTGGTGCATTTACTTAACTTGATGGATATAAATAGTTTCTAAAACTTTACATACTCCCACTGTAGACTTGGCATCATAAATTATTCTCTTGATTCGTTGAAGAATTCCATCTCCACCATATGCCTGAAATTTGAAAAGATAAAGATTAAAGAAGATCAGCATTATTTATTTATATTTTCAGTTTTCAATTACTTTATTTTACAATGTCATCATACCAATTTCAGAAATATTATTTCACTGAAGAGAAATTACCTCATGCATAGTTCGGGATTCTACCTTATTCCTGCAGAGCAATAAAGTGCATAGCCCTCCCTGTGCTATTATTTTAACCCTCCCCATGCTATTATTTTAGAAAGTCTAAAGTAATAATAAAGTCATTCCAATTCTATATCCAAGTGGGTTTCCATGTGTCTTTCTTGGATGTTTCTGCTCTTTGTTTCTAGCTCTCCCATGTCAATCTTATTCGTTTCCAAAACCCAAAATCTTTCCCATGAATCTTACAATCAAGTACACCACAGACAAATTTCAAAAAATGAGGTTTAGTGACACTCCAAAGATTTTGCTTTGCTTTTTAAGTAAATATATTTAAAGATGCTTCAAGCAAGACAATTCAAATGAAGTAAGATAATTAATGAACTGTTCTCATATTTTGGTAATTTAAAAAACTGCTGTGATTTTGAATAAATGTGCAATACTTACTTCGGCTATGCCTTCCAAAATATTATTAATGAACTGGACCAGATCTTCAATGCTCTCTATTGGTTTATGAGGTAGGAAATATTGTTGATTAGATGTATTCAGGACAACAATAGTGGGGATTATCAAATCACTGAAACAGTAAAACCAAACAATTCAGAAACTGAAATATAACTAGTTCATTAATAAAGCCTTGAAGAATGATCACATTCTTACCAAAATAACTAGGAAGATAAGGGGTTTTCAATCATATTACTTACTACTGAATCCTTATGGAATAATATTGGGTACTGATAGATTGGTTTAACTTATTTCTTATATAAATGTAATAGTTATGGCTAATTAATCATCCTTTTCAAAGGTTCTGAAGTATTCACAGTTCTGTCAAGTGTTTCATTCTACTCAAGGTCTGCATTAGCCTGCCGGGCCAATGAATCAGACATTAATTATGCTACAAACTGATAGTACTGCTGTTTTAATTCCACTGATGAGAAATTAAAGGTATTATAACTGAATTCAGAGAACATTGATGTAGTAGTGGAAACAGTATAGAACACAAAAGGCAAAAGCAGCAGTAAGCACTGATAAGAGAATTTTCCCTTTATACACACACACACACATGCTAAATCTTCTCAGATCCTGAAAATTAGTTATTTAATGCTGCCATCTAGTGGAAATACATTTAAATATTTTTTTAATATTTCCGTTATCTTTGTTTAAAGAGTTCAATTGAAAGAAACAAACAACTTTTTCTCCATCTCAAAACAATACAAAAATGGTTTTACTCACTCCATTAGTAAACTATTAATGTATTCATTTCCATCCATATAGCCAAACTGGAAGTTTCTATTAAAAAGCAATTCAAAATATTATTCTGATTTGAAATAAATAATGTTGATAAACAAACAAAAAACATGACATCAACCAATAAATTTAATGAAGGGAAAATTCAAAGAGGAAAATGAAGGTGATTCAATTTTTAGGATAACAGAAACAGATAAAGAAAACTGATTATCAAACATTGCCTACTCAAAACAACCTATTGCAATCGTTGATAACAAAAGAACTTGCCTAAGGAAAAAAGCAACTAAAGATTTGGAACAGAAATAGCTGCAAAGGTAGTATTTTATCCTTTCAACTTATATGAAATTTTTGTTGTAAAATTTGCTTTACGTATACCTGGAAGAGACTTAAAAGCAGACAGGATTTGTTCCTGAGCTTCAGAAATCAATTCGGCCAAGTAAAATTATGGAGTACCTCTAAGCTCTTATTCATTCGTGTTGTAATTAATTATGAAACGAGAATGGGGCAATATTACAGGACAATTTACAGCTAATAGCAACATAGACCACCGTTATACTTTGCATGTACATCTCTCTAAAAACTACCAAACTATCCTTGAAAGAGCAGTGCAAACTTTTAGTATTGCATAAGGATCTGAAAGACAGATCTGGAAACTGAAACAAGTAAAAGGAGCTTATTACTCATGATCTTAAGATGATGGCAATGATTTATATGGCCATCCATATTAGATAAACAACTCTGGGTGTCTAACACAATAGAAGCATCAATATTATAAAAGATGCAGGAACTAGAACACATAAAAGAGAAATGGCCATGAAGGATGAACCAATTAATAACAGCTACATTCCCTTCATTTCTCCTCCATCTAAGAGAAAACAGATATTACAAGCTTCACAAGAGGCCAACAGGGTTAGAATAATCTAAGGGGTCCTGATTCCTGACAGATGACAGGAACTCTTTAATTGAAGGGAATTGGGTAAACGCCTTTTTCTAGATCTGATGGGATAGGTAAAGATGATTAGAGAGAGATAGTACTGGTCCCAGGTTATGAAGGTCTTCGGAGCTGACAATCAACACCTTGAATTGCACTCAGAAAACAACTGAGATTCATGAAGCAAAGTGGGACATTGATCTAACAGTGTAACATGGATTTTCCCATGCTTTCCCATCCCATGCCTTTCTTTTCCTAAGCCACCTAATGGCTGAACATCCACAAAGCCCAATGATAGATGATAAAGTATTGTATAACAAAGGGCTTGGATTGTTGAGCTTATTTGTAATTATATGCTGCTGCTGTTTTATGCTCTTTGTTTTTTTAGCCTGCTTATTTTACAGACCATTGCATTTTTCATGTGTATATTATTAGCTGGGCTACATTGTAAACATATAAAAAACAGAATACATTTTGTAATATGTACAAATTTTAAAATGCAGAAAACTGCAAATGATTTAAACTGCAACCCTGTCCCTATTTATGTAAATTAAACCACTATATTCACTGGACACTTTTTAACATTACGATTCCCAAACAAAACTATATTACCTATTAAAAGACCACAGATTTCTGAGAAATGTAGTAAAGTCTATTAGAATTGGAAATGTATTCATGTAACAAAAGATGCAGAACTAGATTATAAACATAAAAAAATTAACTTAATTACCTATGAAACTGTTCCCTGTAATTTTTAGCCACATCTTGAACAATAGACTTCAATCTGTAAGATAAAAAAAATGGATTTCCGTATCTCTTTAGCTGGTCAAAGTATACAAAGGAAATAAAGAATACAAGCATGAAGCCATTTAATGAGAAATGAACTATATCTGAGCATGGCATCTGAATTTCTCTGCAAATATTTTTTTTTTAATCAAATCCATTTTTCTACTTTAATTTCAAATTAGAAAGAAAAAAAAGTCAATTGTTATGAAATATTAGGAAATCTGTACCAAAGAGAAACTTGGTGTATCATTTTTTAATTTGAATTGTCTATTCAAAAAAAGATTACAGAAATAGATTTCGAATCCAATTCTTTATAAACATCACGTCCCCAATGTTTCAAGATGCATGTTCATAGAGGTTTTGAGAGGCTGGGAATATTATAAGTGGTAATATTACAGCTAATAATTATTTTATAAGAAATATGTGATTTCTGTAAGAGTTAAATAGCGGCATTTGATTCTGCAGCCAACATTATACACTGGTATGGCAATATTCAAGAACAGTTGCTAATGAGATTGATTTCTATAATAACTTTTGCTTGAATTTGTTTAGTAGCTGCATGGTAGTCTGTGTAATAAATTATTCCTTATGAAATTTTTCAACTTGAAGAAAAAAATAATCCCTTTGGCCAAATTTTCTATTGGTTTGTTCTTCAGCACAGACTACTACTAAATATACTTCTGGAACTTTGGTGTAAAAAACAAAGGGGCATGAGTTCTGCTTTCTTGTAGCTATATTGTACTAGAACTGTGATGACCCGGGACGTGGCACAAAAGCAATGAAGTCACAAAAGTAGGTAAAGTCCCTTTAATACCTCCAACTTGGCCCCTAATGTCCAGTTATCTTCGGCTGGAGAAAAAACTCTCCCAAGAACAGTCTTTAAAGGGAAGAAATTCAGTCTGAACCCAAAGTACATATAAATTATAAATAAAAATCAACACAAACCACGCTGCAGCAATTAACGGGACACGGCAGGATAAGGAATTGCAGACTTCAAAAGACAACAAAATACACACAGTTGGGAGGACGCCAGAACCCAGATAAGCCTTAACAAACAAAGATAATGCACGCTTTGCTTTCAACAAGGTGCTGTGCACAAACACCCTTTTTAAATCCTGTTTTCCCAGCTGCAGCTAATGAAGGAATCAGGGCCCTTTTCTCCCCCGTAATCCACATAACTCATGTTGCTCCCTTCTCCGTTCCTCCCTGCGTACCCTAGGATGAAGAGGGGGTGGGCCTGAGTCTTCCTCTGAATGCCCAGCCAGACTGTGCCCTTCTCCAGTTTCTCCCACAGCCACTGGAGCCACACTCCTACTCCCTGTCAGCTGCTCGCCTTCCCCCTCGGAATAGGTGGATAGGTGGGTGGAAGGAATTGCAGCACCCTTGTGATATTAAGCTTGGGCAAGTTGGAAAGTTCTCAAATTTTGATCATATAAAAACAGGGCTGCAGTAACAGCCATAACTTCAGGAACAGGTCATAAGTCCCTTTGTTTAACATTGCCGTAATTCCAAATGGTTTTAATTCGAGAACTAGCTATGTTGTTATTTATATTTTAAAGTATTATTATTCTAGTTAAATTGTGACTTATTATATACCAGGAACCCTGGTGGCACAGTAGTTAGAATGCAGCATAATAGACTAACTCTGTCCACTGCCTGGAGTTCAATCCTGATGGGGTTCAAGGTTGACTCAGCTTTCTGAGGTCAGTAACATGCAGACCCAGATTGCTGGGGGCAATACACTGCTATTTGTAAATTGCTCAGAGATGTTATAAAACACTATGGAACATCATATAAGTCCAAGTGCTATTGCTATTGTTACATAAAGTCAACTATTTTTCTTTAAAGTCCAACATCAGTTTTAAAATAATAATTCATATTTTAAGACAAACCCCCTGGACCTACCTTGCATGATCTGAAGAAGCATTTTTATCATCAATAACCGCAATAGCTACAAGTTTTCCTAAAATAAAGTAAGATGCATAATGCATATTTGTTTTATGTTCTATCATTATGTTCTATATCAGCATTCAAGGCAGTCAATAAAGTTTAAAAACAAAAGCAATATGTAAAAATTTAAAATTACAGATTAAAATTAGCAATAAAATAAATCCAAACTTATCATAGATTTTCTAAATACTTAAGAAAACTGGGGACGGGGACAAATACAACTCCTGAATGACTACATTCCATACTTGGGAACAGTACAGAAAAAGGCCTTCAAAGAAGTTTCTCTTTTATTTCTTATCAGAAAATATTAAATACAGATAGTGCTGTTTACCATTTACTAGTCACTGGAAGTTATGATGTTGCTGAATGAGGGGTACTGATGGGTCCTCATAGTTGTGGTGGTCACTCTGTCCCTGCAGTCACGTGATCGTGAATTGGGTGCTCAACACTTTAAAATTATGATGTTACAGTGTCCTGTGGTCACATGATGGCCATTTGCAACCTTCACCGCCAGCTTCCAACAAGCAAAGTCAATGGGGAGCTGGCAGGAGGTTGCAAATGGCGATCACATAACTATGGGATGCTGCAACTATGTCAGATTAGTGTAATGATGGCAATTGGGACTACTAGAACTGCTGTTAAAAATTAGCAGTTACAAAATATTGTGCCTCATGACTGCATTGCTTAGTTGCATGGTTCTGGTCCCAATTACCATTCGTAAGTAAGGACAATCTGTAAGCCCACAAAGAAAAATATTTTAGATTATTTAATTGTAGTTCCCAATAAAGAATGCCACGTGATTTAATTACATAAACAGAATCAATGGGGAACCACTTTTCCATTCTTTTCTTTTTTCTCTAATCACCCACACTTTTATATCACTTTAAAAGTGCCCTCCCCCAAGTATGCCCTGAGGAGGTAGACAACCAGATCTTCTAGCAGCAATGAATCACAATCCAATCACAGATCTTCATAACAACACTGGTCTTTTCTCTCCACCACATCAACTGTCCAATTTAGAATCGCTCCCACAATGTGCCAGCCACTATTTAAATGCCTACTACTTCAAAATCCACACTCTTCTGATCACTCTACTCCGACTAAACCCAAATGCTTTTAATGGTCCACACAGGAAATAGTGTAAGCAAGACAACGCTAAGTCACATTGCCTAACATGCAATTTTGAATATTATAGAATATTCAAAACAGCATTCTTCCATACTCAGGATAATACATTCAAACACCAGTGCTTTTTTCCCATGGCCAGAACAGTTGAAATCCCTGCTTCAAACTCAAAGCGGTTCATGCCCTATGGGAAAGGAATTAGGAGACAATTAAAGTTATTCTGGATACTAAGAAAAAATGTAGGTATTTAGCATCACAATCCGAAATAAAATGCATACTTAAAACACATTTATTTACATAGTTCTTTCTGGCACAGCATGCAGAAATAAATAGTTATTTTAAATTGAAGCTGACATTTTAAAGTTGTATAAGATAAAGACGGAAGAATAGTTATCTTACCTGTGTCTCCAAGCTCATAGAGTGTAAATCCATCTATATTAAGGTACCCTTGAAATCTTTCCCTATTTATCCAGGCTGACAAATCACCATCTACATACTCTTTATGGAGAAAAAGGGAAAAAGTGAGAAAAAGTGAAAAGATGTACATAATCAAGAGTTTCCCCCTAAGTTCAACAATACATTAGAAGCACATAAAGATCATAAATGACAATTCAAAGCTTTGTGCCCCACCGATGCTTTCTAGAGGATATGGACTCACTTATTGGAAATTGCTGGTGCTGTCAAAATGTGCTAGATTTCAAATTTGCCACTAATCATTTAGGAGTCAAGAATGTAAAGAAATATTGTAAATGTAGCCTGCATGCCAGTCGCTCATTCCAAACTATAGGTCCTTATGAGGAAGAGTAGCCCCCCTCATGTCAGACTACACATTCCCATGAAGAAGAAACACACTTGGTCACATACAGAATAAAATATCCTAGTTCTTCCTCCTCCCCCAAAGACTCTAATCAATGGCTGAAATATACTAAGAATCTGGAGGACAGACACCATTTTTTTGGTGTGATCATTAAAGAACCTGACAATCATTAAGCAAACGCCATGGTCATTAAGTGGATTTTTTTAAAGGAACCAAACTGGTCAATATGCACCAAAGCAGATTCGTTGTTCTACTGCAGCAATTCAAGATTTTGTTTTATTTCTCTGTATAGCATACATTTCCTGGTGTCTATTCAGCACTAATCTCAGCTGACTTGCTTAGCTCAGCAACCTGCTACAACCTACAGATACATATATTAGCAATTCCAGCAATCTGCAATTAATCTGACACTGCACTGCTTCTGAATCTTTGTAAATATGAAAGGACAGTGTACTGCAAAATAAACATGATCCTGTTTTCAAAAAAGAAAAATTAAGGTCTATAAATGTATAGCCTATCCATGATAAGAACCGATGACTGAACTTACCATCATACACAAAATAAGTTCCATCTTTTAAGACTAGAACGGCGGGCATCTCAGGGAGTGTTATATGCTGAAAAAAATGAGGAAAAAAAGCAGAACAGTTTACTGACAAATTGACTTTACTCATTCAGAGTCTACATTTTTCTATAGACGATATGTATTGGTTTTTATTTTCATTTTTCAGTTATTAATACTGGAATAAAGAAAACTGGCAATAATAGTCTCTCTGAAGTGTTCATCTTGCCAGCTAAAGTTTGTTTTTGTTTTTTTTTAAAAAAAAACTGAGTTGACTTTATGTAGTGGCAGTGGGGAAGAGCCATTGTTATTTCAAGGAGTTAGTTACATATTTTGATTTCTTCATCGTAGTACAGAAAGTCTAGAAGTGTAGAATTCATTCTGAGCTAGCCTGCTTGCTTTTCTCTCACTTGTTGAAAGAGAAAGGAGAGGATTCTTCACATAGTTTCATAGCTTTGCCCTCTGTGAGAGTCTCAGACTTTCGATTCCCATTCCAGAGTCATGTGCAGCCAGTCAAGGTCAGATCTGGCAATCTCCTGACCATAGCAGGGCCATGAAATCATGGTGCCAGTTTTGATAAAAACCATGGGGCTATTGTTATGGAAGAGCTTCTGCAAAGGAACCTAATGCTGGGTACTGTTGACAAATTAGTTACCCATTGGGGCACCTCTGCTGTCGTTATTAAGGAGCTCCTGGCAGATTTTAAGATATTTGGGTACTGTCTTGCTTGGTATGCGTGCTTTCATATTACACCTTTAACTCTGTTTGCTTGAGCAAATAATCAATCTTAAAAATCCCTTTATTTAGTGATGCACTTATTGTCTCCAAAAGAACCAACTGCCAGAGCACCCAATCGTTTCCCTGATGCCTGACAAAACACTTTATTTTAATTCATAGTTTTAACAGATTTCAAAACATATATTAAACATGAGTCTGGGTTTTTTTGTGAACTGCTTTTATTTGTTCCTTATTTATCTTTTTAAAGTATTCTTAGTTAAATTATGGGTATTATACACATAAAGTCATTATTTTTTTTTAAAAAAAGCAAACAACATAAAAATTATGTTATCATCTGTGTCCCTTCTTGTCCTTCTTCCTCTTTTGGATCATGAAAAAACTAGCTGATTTTATAACAGGGGGAAGAACGAAATTAAAAAAAAATTATTAACAGATGTACCATGAAGCAAAACCCAAATGTGCCTTTTAAAATGACAATTCGATTCATATTTTGCTTACATTTTCCCAGTACTAAGTTAACCAAAGGAACTAGTTTATGCATTACATAACTATTTGAAAATGTTTATATGTCAATTAGTGTATACATGTTTAATGTTACTCTTAATAGAAAGAAATTTCAAAGAAAGGTACATTTGGATCTTTTATAGAATTTGGAAATTTGCATCTTAATTATTTTTCTTCCTCCATTTTTTTCATTTTCAAGAGCTGAAGATAACAAAAACTATCAGGACCCAAGGCAGAATGATCTCTTGAGCAGAGAAGAGCTGAGATGATCCCCTGTGTCTGAATCCGGTTTCATAACTTCTCCTCATATAATAAAGCCCCAGAGGATACTAAAGTCACTATAAATACTTTTAACAGAAACAATTCAGTTGTGCTTATAAACAAAACAGTTAAGTGTTCTTTGCTGCTTATATTAATCATCTGTGTGACAGGTTGTCCTTTTTAATTTGCTACATCAAAATATAAACAGAGAAAATGCATTTAATGAAGATGTGCCATGTCTTTATATAATCTGTAATATCAAGTATACGTGAAAGGGCTTTGGTTAATTTAATTTAAACTTGCACTAATAAAAGTGTACTGGCCTTACTAAGTTCATGATTTAAAAGTAAAGTGCTTGCTTTCACATAAATTAATACAGTAACTTAAAACATAGTTTTTTCCCCCTAGTTTTCTGAATGAAAAAAACATAAAAAAACATAAAAAGCAGAAAGCATTAAGAGATACTTAAGTTACACAATAAAATATTTCTTTGGGGAGGTGGTATTAAAGATGAATTGTTTTCCAGGCTCAAATTAAGTTGGTCTTCACCTTTAAAATAATGAACTGCTGAAAGCCTGGCTCAGAAATGACTTGTCTTGTGAGCTTTTATAGTTAGTAAGATCTGCAGGAAGGCCCTTTGAGGATATTCATTTTTCACAGAGAGATATTTCTCTAATTCAGAGAAAGGTCATTTGCCTACATTGCTTCCAAACCTAGGAAAGCTTTCCTTCAAGGATTAACATTAGTCCACCACTTTTTCAACTTTCTAAAAAAGAAATTGGCACCTTTGTTTAATCTGGCATTTTAAATTTTGAGTAGTGATGGTTTTTTCCCCTCAGTTCTGTTTTTTTGTATTTTATTGTTCTGTGAAATGTCCATGTATTCAATAAAATGCTACTGTTTTAAAACTAAATTGATCTTGCAGGCAATGTTGGTTGGACTATTCACTTACATTCAGATATGAACATAAATTAATATTGGGTTGCCAGTTATCCACAAGGATATCATTCCCAATACTTTCATAATAAACCTACGTGCAAAAGCAAAAGCTGATTTGCACTCATTCTTTACTATTCTAAGAAAAAGAGAGGCCTAAGTTTTAAATGTGTAATTAAACTCTCTAATTGTAATATTTTCATTTACCTAACTTGGATTCACAGATTACACTAAACTTGAACACGGTTTGACTAAGAGCAATATATAAACCAATCACTGTGGCTGAGTGTTTCATAACCAACATCACTACAGCTTTTAGGACAAACCAATGTAAAAATAAATTAGAATTTAATGTAACATGTGAGCTCAACAGCCAATGAAGAAAGTTTAAGATCTATCATGAAACACAGTTAGACAATAAATAGTTCTTTGAATTAACAGTCAGAGGTGTAACTGCTCAGAGGTGTAACTGGCATTCATTAAAACTACTGTCAACAGTAAGCGGTATATTGTCAATAGATAAAGAGGTATTTTTCAACACGTAAGTGTTCAATCAGGTACATCATAATAACTGTTATTTTTTACCTCAGGAAGTATCTCTTCTGAGGCAGAAAAAAAGTATGTATAAACAATTAGTTCGGAAGCAACTTCTATGTATCTTTCCTGTGGAAATACAAATGGGTAGTTTTAATGCGTTTCTTGATCTTCATAAGCTTCTTCTGGTAACAGAACAAGATACCATTTTAGTTCAATTTCACATATGAAATTTGCTTAATGGGTAAGCAACTAATGCAAGTCTTTTGCCTCTCCAATGATTCTAGAAAATGTCACTGTATTGTTTTTGTTTTAAATTACACTTCAGAATTATTTGCAGGCTATCACAGATAAATATAGCTTTTAAATATCTCCCCATTCTTTTGCTAAATCAAATGACACATCCTTTTTCTGTCCAACTTTCTGGTATGTTAAGCAAAAACAATCTTATGCTAATTCTTTCTTCTTGTATTGTTGATATTTATTGTATCTCAGTACAGCAATACTTCCCCATTTCAATATTATCATAAATATTTCAGGAAACCACAGCATTTCCTCCCCCCCCCCCTGCATTTTCACAGTATGAATTGCATATCACAATCTGCCAGCCCATTTTAATTTTTCCAAGTCATTAACCCTATAGTGGCCTTTTTTTAGAAGTGAAAAGAAAAACAAAGTGGAATTCTGAATGTGGCTGTTCAAGTATTACCCCAGTTTCATGATTTCTATCCAGTTAAATGGAACATCGTCCCTTTGATGTTTCTGTTTTAAGTAAACTTCTACCAGTTTACAAAATCCTTCAATAACAGAACTTTATTAGGAGATAGGCATTGAAACTCATAAACTACATCTAAAATGAGCAAAACAAATATTTGTGGTTAGCAAAGTTTCAGACCTTTAATGGAGATTCCCCACCAATGTACAGAAAAAATATGCGATGTCTTTTTTGAACATGCTCAAACATATGTTGGCTAGGGAGATTTCGAATAATAGGCCTGCAGATTAAAGATAGGGAAAACAACAAAAAGATCAGAATAAGTAAGGCAATGAACTATTTCTTAAATGCTATTGCTAGAGTGTTTATATATTTCAGAGGATAAGGATTCTCAACAATCCCACTTGGAAGAACATACTTATCCTAAAACAGATAAGGTTTTAAATTTTTGAAATGCATTATTTAAAGCTGGATGCAGACTTCCATGACAATTAAAATGCATACATATATGAAGGAGGGGCAGAGACTCACAGTGCTAACTTCATATGCTTAAATTTGCTGTTTGTATTTACATTTAAAGCCAAAACATTTTCATTATCAAGGGACAAGGTTTAGCAGTCATCAGCACTTATAGTACATGTGAAAACTATGAGGATAATTCTGAATACATAACCAAAATACTTGCTTTGAAAATAAAATCTTACCAGAATTCATTGCAGTCAAGGATCTAGATGTTACTAGCAAATATTTCATCATCCTATCTTATTTTACCACAGTAACTATCTTTTACAATTGCATCATTACTAAAGGTAACATAAAAACATTTGAAGAGTTAGTAATGCAATTTCATCAGACATTATTATTGCCCACTAGAATAATTTTTAAAGAAAATAAGAAAGTTTCTAAAGTTTGTTTTCAACTGACCATGTTAAAACAGTAATTGCTACAATCATTTAAAAAGTTCTATGTAGGGGCAATAGTAAATACATCATTGTTACAGAGATAATGACAATGGAAACAAAGATACATTAATATTTAATATGGTGTATTTTAAGGCTTTAAACTGATATTCTGTTTGTCATACTCAATGGATTATTTCTTATTTCTTTAAATCTTATTTTTTAAATCTTTCATATCCCAAAGAAGTTAATTAAACTATTTTAAATGGCAACAATAACCTTCCATTTTCACTTAAAACAGCAAAAGTCATTGGAGCTCTTTATTTTACCTGCTAGACAGGTCTGAGCCCACAAATACTTACCCTGCAACTCTATTTGCAAACTCAACAATATCATCTTTGGTTCTTGGTCCTCTATAATTGTATGCCAAGTCACCCTTCAACCTAAATCAATAGACATGAAACCAGTGAATACGTTGAATGCTAGATTTTTTAGGCTTAATAATAACCAATAAAAGCATTGCATATGGAATTCAATTATAAGAGATAACCCTAGTGTAGCAATAATATTTAAAAACATACTTTGGGAACAGTAAAGAGAAATGACGCTTCATAAAGTTTCAGTTGCCTTTTAGCTAATACAAACAAAACTAAAAGAAAAGATTGGCTTAAGTTTTATACAAATTTGCAAAGCTTTTACTTAGAAACAAAGTGAGACATTATAAAGCACTCATATTTTAATACAGGAAACACAACATTAAACTTACAGTTTAATTGTTGGATAGCCTCGAACTCCAAATTCAGAAGCAATACCTACCAAAGAAGCAAAATAAAACAGGGGTGGGGGAATGAAAATTTCAAGCATGTGATTTTTCTCTTTGACAAATTCATCTACTCCAAACTAGTGTACTAGTATAAGCAGCAGCTATAATACAGAAAAAGAATTATAAACTTTAAAAGTATTCTTTTATTGAGGAACTGATTTGGACAATTAATATACTGCACTGAGTTTTTAATTAGCAATATTTTGGAGCAATAGCTAATTGAACTTTTGTTAGTTTCCAAATTTATAAATTATATAATATGGAGTACTTTGGCAGTAAACTTACTAGAATAAGAAGTTGCATCCATCTTGCCAACCTTTACTGGAGACCCGATACTTCCCATCTCTTTACCAACTTCATTCCACACTGGCTCCAATTTCTTGCAATGGCCGCACCAAGGTGCATAGAACTATGAACAAACCATAACCATTCAGAATTTAACCTACAAATAAAGAATGGCAGTTTCCTATTTGTTCCTTTAAAAATGCTTTTTGTTAGAAGGATACTTATAATACTTTTGGGGGGGAAACACAGTAGTGAGATATTTGGTCTTAATATGCAAAATAATACATACACAAAGTAAAATTGTAAATATAGTCAATATTTAGATCATCTCAGTATGGAAAGTATATAACAAATAATTAACATTAGCAGGTCAGATCTTCCAACAATGAGTTCCAAACCAATGTTTCACACATAACACAACAGTACTAATTTATATCAGATTATTTTGATTTATAAAATCTTAATAAGAATAATTATACTGCATTTACAAGATTAATAAAGCAACAGCCAATCACTTCTATATTTGTCAAAGAAAACTACATGGACATGTCTATCAGCCACTAAGAATTGAATTTTATTCAAAGGAGTTTTTATTGTTAACTGAATGTTCTGCTTTTGCAAAAAGTTAGGCTAAAAGTTAGACAGAAGAACTATAAAAAAAATAAAGCAAATTGTATTTAAAAGATTTAACAAATCTGTTACTCACATCAACAAGCCAAATGTCATCTTTACGTTTCTCTTTAAACCTATAAAAGATGCATAACCAATAAATAATTTTACTAGATTTAGTTATTTGTCTAGATATTTACATTAAGTCATAACAAAGTGATGTGTGGGAAATCACCTTTTTAAATAGAAAGATGTCACAGAATTTGGTATTGATTAGAGTACCATTTTGTGTGTACTTTACAGCCGTGGACATTTTCTGAAAAACTTGGTGGGCAAAGCATCTCTCTTCAAATAATTAAAGCAGCTATGTCTTTTTCCAGGCTTGCATGGTTGTTTTCAAAGTTTTCAGCAAGCCTCACAATCATTTCAATTTGCTTTTTTTTCCCCATTCCTGTGCATTGAAAATCATCTCTTTTAAAGGACTTGCACAACCCTACTGTGTAATATGGATTATAATCCTATTATAGAACTACGATTAAGTAGGCACAATGCAACAATATAAATAACATGGAGAGATTGCTTACAAATCATATTATTCCTAAAGAGTTAAGCATATCATAGAACTTGGTTTCTCCCTCACTACTGTGAATGTAAAACAGAAAAAGATAATCTTAAAAATAAAATGGTAGCACTTCCCACATCTAGTTTTAGAAATAGGCCATTCACCAAGAGAACGAAACAAACTCAGTGCCAGATCCTGGGTCAATAATAGAAATATAGAATGTCATGATTCAATGGGAACTTATAGATTATTTACTCAAATTCCCTACCCAATACATGAATCCAATACTAAAGCATTCCAAACAGATGACAATGCAGTTCTATTTCAATAGCTCCAGCAAAAGAGAATCTACACCATCCTAAAATAATCCAGTTCACTATCACATGTTGCTATTATGTGTTATTATTTACTACATGTGAATACATTACATTTTTATTTCACATATACAGTGATTACATTATTTTTGAGATCTTGTTGTTTATGGAACTGCTACTAAAAATAACATGTCAAGTCTCATGTGTTGGAATTTTTAGATTTCTTACTAAAACTGTGATTCCTGCAAAATCTTAAATTTCTGATTTAAAACTATTGATATTTGTTTATAGACCAAAAGAAAGGGTTGTTTTTTCTTTTGAAGCAAATAATTAATTGCACTAATTCCACTGTATTTGTTTCAAAAGAGTCACAACTTGTAATGAAACAGGAAAGAATGTGAATACTTATATATGACAAAGGTTATTGGTATCATCATATATAAGGGCTCTTCAGAGTTTAAGATTTTTGTAGTTAAGAGTAGTTAGGTAATATGATCAATTTTAATTTATGCACTATGGAAAAAGACATTTTAAAGCAAACCCTTAAGCAAAAAGGGCCATTTTTAAGCAAACGGTGTAGTCTCTCTTCTATAGTTGTGATCTACAATGCACTAATATACAAGCAAATGGATGCTTAAAGGATATTTGCCATTCCATAAAGGTTCAGTAAAACATAAATCTCTAAATTTGTAATTTATGTAAATGCTACATACTTACGATTCATCTAAGTCTTCCACAAATGATGCATCTATGGCAAGTATAAAGGTAGCAAATGCTGGAAGAAAAAGTTGGCAGAAAAAAAAGTAGAATATAATGCATCTTATCTCATATACACTAAAGCCTACATATGTCTTTTCATTCTCTACCCAAACCACCTCTACTCCAAAATGTTACAGGAACTTTTTTTCCCTCCAATTCCCTTACTTCTAATAAGGCAGTCTTCAACTTATAACAGTTCATTTAGTGACCATTCAAAGTTGCAATGGCACTGATAAAAGTCACTATGATCATTTTTCACACTTGCGACCTTTGTAGCCTCCTAATCATATGATCAAAATTCAGATGCTTGACAAATGCTTCATACTTATGACTGTTGCTGTGCCCCAAGGTCATGTGATCATGAAACAGGGCAAAAGTCACTTAACAATAGAAATGTTGGGCTCAGTTATGGTCACAAGTCAAGGACTACCTCTACATTTCAAAACAGCCTTCTTTTAATTTAGGTTTTTAGGAGAAAGTTGGCTCCATCCTTCTTATGGTAGAACAAACAGCAAGATGCAAGCAGCTTTTTCTTTCAGACCAGTGCCGGAGCTCAATCCCTCTCCCTCTCTCTCAATCCAAATAGTAGAGAGAGACAGCCACCTGTCCCCCAGAGACGGCCTAGTAAAGTAATCCTTTCACAATAGAATAGAACAGAATAAATAACAGAGTTGGAAGGGACCCTGGAGGTCTTCTAATCCAACCCCCTTATACCATTTCAGACAAATGGTTATCCAATCTCTTCTTAAAAACTTCCAGGGTTGGAGCATTTATAACTTCTGGAGAGAAGTTGTTCCACTGATTAATTGTTCTGTCAGAAAATTTCTTCTTAGTTCTAGGTTGCTTCGCTCCTTGATTAGTTTCCATCCATTGCTTCTTGTCCTGCCCTCAGGTGCTTTGGAGAATAGCTTGACTCCTTCTTTGTGGAAACCCCTGAGACATTGGAACACTGCTATAATGTCACCCCTAGTCCTTCTTTTCATCAAACTAGACATATCCATTTCCAGCAACCGTTCTTTATATGTTTTAGCCTCCAGTCCTCTAATTATCTTTGCTAGTTTCTCTGCACTCTTTCCAGAGTCTCAACTTCCTCATCGGTTGTAAGCATTCCAGGCTTCATTAAAACTCCCCTGTAATCCCTTAATTCAACATGTTTTTTTTTTTTACACCCTGGCGACCAAAACTGGATGCAGAATTCCAAGTGTGGCCTTACCAAGACTCAGATTTAGAATAACTTTACTGTCACTTTGAACGTGCAATACGTTAAAACTAAAATTCGTTGCACACAGCCCTCAAAAAGGGTCACCACCTCCAATATACACTACATCAACGTGGCAAAAATAAATACCTAAATACAAAATTAAGCACATACCCCCCCTACATCAGATGGCATTATCAAGTTTATAATGTTTAGATACTTTATACCAGGGGTCTCCAACCTTGGTAACGTTAAGCCTGGAGGACTTCAACTCCCAGAATTCCCCAGCTGTCTGGCTGGGGAATTCTGGGAGTTGAAGTCCTCCAGGTTTAACTACCAAGGTTGGAGACCCCTGCTTTATACAATGAACATGATATAAATCCAATTCGAGATGTCCGGCTCTTGTTTGTCAGTTTTTTACAACCATGCCCGGCCGGATCCCGTCGGACATGATTTTAATTTGGGGGGGAGGGTTATCCTATACCCAGGACGGGGCCAAACAGCCCGCCCCCCGCCCCCGAGCCCCGTTCTGCCTTCCATTTGAGGCTACCTACTTCCGCGGCAGATCGGTATTATTCAGAGTTGTACTCGTTTCTCTCTCCCCCCCCCCCCCCCCCCCCCCCCCCCCCCACCCTCCAACTTTCAACCCACTTCCTGCAGCATCAATCGATGCTCGGGGCTATTTCCTCGCCCCTCTCCTCCTTTCCAAGGGAGGTGAACGGGAAGCAGCGGCGGGAGCGGCCGCTTTCTTTCTCCCCCACCCCCCCCATTCCTCTCCGAAACCTCCCCCCGGCTCGCGCGTCTCCTGGCGCCCCATCCCCATTCCTCCCTCCCCCCAGCCCTCCTCCCTTCCTTCGCTCCGGCCAACTCCTCACCGCCTGGGATACCGTCCCCCCTCGCCTTAATACGTTCATCCGCGGCAATTGTACCTGTTGCCCACCACAAGCCCAACCGCTTTTTCCTCGCCGCCCCCATGCTGACAGGAGCCGGTAGACAGACCCGAGAGGAACCATCAGCCGGAAGGGGAAACGGGATGTCTTGCCTTTCCGAGCATGCGCGTAGACGGCGACGGCGGCAAAGCGGCCTCCGCGATTGTTCCGTTGTTTGAAAGTGGGCGGGGCGGGTTGCTAGGCGATGCCCCGCCCGGTAGCTCAGAGTTTTGCCTTCTGCGGGGTGGGGTATTTTCGGGTAACGCCGATTTGTTTCTCGCTCTTCTGCTGTATGTTAGGGGAATTATTCACAAGCACCACAGAAAAGAAAGGCTCTTGTCGGCCGTTATGGTTTTCTCGAAAGGTGCAATGAGAAGAGTTCGAGCTCCCTCTTTTCTACCCTCGTTGCAAGTGCTGACGGAGAGAACCAGTGACAAACGCATCCGAATGTCAAATTATCTGGCCGAGTGGAAGTGCTGGGATTAAAGCTAGTTGTTTCTGGAAAAAAAAAAATCCTATCCTATCCTATCCCTTCCTTGAAAAAAAAAATCATGTTGGAAAAAGTAAGGGACGAAAGTCCCATTTGAGGGTGAACGATTTAGCCAATATATTCTTATTAAGCTGATGATTAACAGTATTTTATTTGGTTCCCATAATATTAGGAATATCAGTGGTGTAGAAGAAAGAATATCAGTTTTGTTTTATAAATAGAATAACAACTAGCTGAAACAGTTTTGAGTCTCGACTTTTATACTTTATCTATTTGCCACTATTTCTGGTATACTTACCTACTTTTTGAAATATTCTAAAACAAATAACTTTTAAAATGTATTTTAAAAGTTGTATTTTATTCCTCTTGTTCTAGCGCCAAGATTTTTTATTTCTCTATTCTTTATGTTAGGGTGACATCTTGTGGTAATAATTGCATTGTGGTTATATATTCTACTGTAATTATTTCATATTTTGTCACTGATAATTTATCTTATGATTTTGTTCTTAGATAGCTCTTCAACAGTTAGTTATTACCAAGTCTGACTTTTCAATGAATCTGTATGTTCATGCTAATGAGATATATTGCCATTATCCTTTCACTGGTTGAGATGCTCTTCAAGATTAGTGACAAATCCTATTGACAAATAAGAGAAAATCTTTCAAAAGTTTGGATCTCAGAATAATACTGTAAGAACCAATGTGAAGATTTTTAAATATTTGTCCTTTATATTGCGGTAGATTGCTAAGCAACCCATATCCTTTTCAGACCTCGACTCAAATGAAGTATTTTGGATGCTTAAAATGCAACCAATAAATTACTGCTAGTGTACAAGACAGGACCAGAGAAACTAGTCAGGAGAAATCTAGGATATAAGTGGAATATCCAAGAGGCATGATACAGAGAAGGGAAAGAACTATCCATAGGTGTACAAAGGTGAGCACCAGCCAGTCACAGACTATGCTTCTTGTTTTGTGCTGCATCTCAACAAACTATACAGTTTGTGGGAATCAGACAAATAGGCACCACAGTGGTCTTCAAGTTATAACCATAATTGAACCAGGAATTACCACCGTAAGCCATGCCAGTCATTAAGTGGATCATCATGTGACTGACCCAATTTTCAACAGTTTTTGTAGCAATCATTAAGTGAATCACCATGGTCCTTAAGTGAATCCACAGTCATTAAGCAAAACAATTGTCTGCAATGGGTATTTTTGCCAGAAATCAGGAATAAACACAGATTTCTGGCAAAGAGCATTGTAAATAGCAATGGCACTTAGACTTATAAACTGCTTCATTGCACTTTAGAGTTCTCTCTAAGCAGTTTACAGAGTCAGCATATTGCCCCCAACAATCTCGGTCCTCATTTTACTAATCTCGGAAGGATGGAAGGCTGAGTCAACCTGAGTCAATGGTGGTCATGTGACCACAGGATGCTGCAGATGGCCATAAAGGCACGGTGCTTGCTAAGTGCTCAAAGTGTGCTCACGATCACAGGGGTGGCAGCTATTAGAACTTTGACTCTGGGACGTAAGTACCTTTTCTGCCTGTATTATAACTTCAAATAGTCACTAAGCAACTAGTCATAAATTGTGAGCTACCTATAATTTGCATACAATTAATTATATTTTAATGTTTGTTAAATCCCTTCTTCTCCTTCCCTTCTGCCCCCACTATGTCATACTTTGCCTACTGATTACACCATTATGGTTTAAGGGAAAATATGTTGCAAATGTGTTTAATGATGAATTAAAATGATCTGTGTACCAATGGCAATTGTGGCACTTTAGCTAAATGGATTTGCTAATTTCTGATCTCTGTTTAATGGAATAGCTATCAACACACTGTGCTATCAAACTTAATCTGCAAGAGATGTATTCTAAAGAACACAAATACTGTGTCTTGACAATGGTGATGGTGTTTTTTAATGTATTTTCAGGGATATACTTCAAAGTATATACTAGTTCATTATGTTGTAGTTTTCAGTAAGATTATTATGGCAAGAAGTTTGGCAGACAGTTTTCCTCTTAAAGCAACATTAAACTAATGTTTTATTTATTCATTATGCAGTTATTCATTGAAATGGCTAACATTTTTGCACACATCTTCATTTTTATATATTTCTGTACATAGCAGAGTTGTCATAACCCATAGTAGCGTACATCAGTAAACCTAAAGAAGTTTTATGCAAAGTGATTAGAAGTGATGTGAATCGTGCCACCATTAGGTAACGTAGGAGTCTGCATTTAATGGTCCTAAAAGGGAAGAAGTTATGTTAGGAAAACGAATGTACACCAAATGCAATAAGCTCATACAGGTCTGGCTGCTTTTAAGCATAAGAACCAGCTTAGGATTTAATTCTAACGAAATAGGCTTATTTGAAAATATGTATGTTGATTTCAACCAGTTTTAAATTGTTTGAACTAAGACAAAACAGATACATAGAGACAATTTAACTAGAGTACAGGTTAATTATGGATATTTGATTTATCTGTGGCTCAGCAAGCAGTGGCCTTCATGTTCTCTCTTCAGGCAGTAGCTGCAAAGATCCCTGTGGTGATGGAAAGCACTCACACTATATGCATGCATATCTGCATTTAAAAACAAAGAAGCAGAAACACAATGGCCTGAAACAATTATTGGCAGAGAGGGTAATCTATTGTTTGGCTCAGTTTATAATAGTACTCTTCCATGTATTCTCAAGGAATGTAATCAAGATGGGTATAGCAGAGATTTGCAGCAAAAATGAATCTCTGGTTTGCAATAATTCCTGCATTCATTCTATGTGTGAAATCCAAGGAAGGAATTAATTTCCCTTCTGAGAGCTCTTCTTCATGATCATGTTAACGTGTTCCTCGAATCCTTGAATTGGGCAGAAGGCTATGTTTCCTTAACTTGTACTTCTCCAATGTGTCTCAGTAAAGACACTTGCAAGCAGTCCTGTCCCTACATTTTTACTGCAGGATAATTTAAGTGTAACTATTAGTAGATTCTCCTGGTTTTGTTTTTCCTTCTGTCTAACATCAATAGCTAATAGGAAAACCATCTTAAAATGCAGAAGAGCAGGCTTGGACACGTATGTTTGGGTGCTAGAGGTAGAAGATATATTCACTTTTCAAGTTATCAGAGTGACTGGTTCTGTGTGCAATGTTTCTCCATGTTATTAACCAGTGTCTCAGGTGATTTCTGAGCACAGGTATACCAGTCTATGACCAGTATCCAAAAATAGGCCAGCTGACATGCTAGTTTGTAGAGAAGGGAAACAATATCAGTCATGGGGAACCTCAATTAGCACATTAGGTCATGTCCAACTTGTGCCCAACCTCTATCCCCCTGGCTCACCCACAGGGCTACTTTTGAACTGGTGTCAAAGGACTAGAAAGAAATGTCAATTTCACTGCAATTCCCAAAGATACATTGTGCATTTAATATCCACACACAGCAGCTTCTGGAAGTACTTAGTATGCAAAATGACATTTGAGTGTGTAAAATGGTGCCTCTATGTAATAAAAACTATAGAAAGCATATCCATATAAAAATGTTAGCAGAAGCAGTGAAACACCTGTAATGTACTCAGATGGTATAAAATTAGGAGCAACTGACTCTCTAGATTTAAATTAATATTCCCTGCTTCTTAAAGCTGGGTCAACCATGCTTCAAGCACAAACACATGTTAAAAGCAGGTTTCACAGTTTTTCAAAACCGTAGACCATGTATACGAGCCCATGTATAGCCTAAATGTCACTACATTATGTGGGAATATGCCTCTGTAAAAGTCACATGATTTAACTCTTCCATTGCTAAAGTTAAACTGGTTATAAAGCTCATTGAGCATATGAGATGGGAACCAAGCACATCCCAGCTTCTGACTGCACCATTAACAATGCCCACAATGGGAGAGACATTGTAGAATGTTTATATGGCCAGATTTGTGTTGGAAAAAAATAGTACTTTCAAACTGGAAATAGCTAAAGACAAATGTCGACAGTAGGCTGGAAATGAGGCAAAGACAATAGCATGAGTATGTGGAATCTAAAAATAGTGCTCAAATTTCTTCATGTCACAACTAGGAGGACATGAAAATAAATCCTGAGTTCAGATGGAGGCATGATTGAAGCAAATATCTTTGGGTCTAGGTTGTGGTTACAGTACTACAAACACTGGAATAGCATGCAAAGAAATAGATCTGTATGTCATCATTCCAGAACAAATCTGTAACAATAATCTGTACTGCTGTACATTTAACATATAAATTTGTGGGGATATTATATAGCAATATAAGTTGTTTATATTTATTAATGTTCCTCTGTTAAGAAATTCTTTAGCACTCAATAATGAATAGGTAATGTTTGAGTTCCCAAATTGTTGATAATCACATTTCAAAATCAGTTAGTGTTAACCATGCTATAAGTCACTGTTGCCCATAATAGAGAATTTTGTTTGAATGGAAATTTGCCCAGTTTTTATGCACTCTGTGGAAAAAACAGCATCAATATGAGATCTGAACGTGATTTGTGATTATTTTCTCCAGAAACTCAGAGAGTCAGTCTGAAGCTATAAGGCAACTTAGATTTTTATCTTCAAAAACTCCTCTGGCTTTATAAAATTCAGCAC